ATACAACGAGTAAAGTCATTATATTGAATGAAAAATTGAATAAAATTATAGTTATTAAAATTACAAAAATAATTATTCTAGGTATTTCATTCAGTTTTCGATAGTAAAAATAATTGATTGTGATCATTTTCTTGTAGATTTTTATGGTATCTTTTGCCATTGTTTGTGTGGTATTTAACCTGGAAGATGATCTTGATGCCCCCGCTAAAGTCAGGGATCCAACCACTGTAAGCATTATTTCTTATCAACATTTTATTCATTAGCAGGTTTTGCATGAATTTTATCAACTTTAAAATCAGGATTAAGTGATCTTATACAGATGTTATCATTAATACATACGATAGTTTCTTAAAATTTTTTTACTGTATATATTTTTGTTTTGTTTCAGGGTGATATATACGAACATCGAATGACAAACCTTGAGTTCATTCTGTACTGGGTTCGTTCAGTATATACAAACAGTAGTGATTCAAAATTGGAAGATGGACAACCTTCACCACCAGTACTAGTGATTGGTACTCACCTAGGCAGCCTCGAGGGGAATGAAGAGGAACAGAAAAGAAAGGTAAACAACTACGTCATACACCAAGTCAACAATAAAACAGTATAAAGTACTGTAACATATATTTAAATAAGAAAGTATAATACATACTCCAAGTATTGAAATACACGCCATCGTGTTGGGATTCAATATTTCGACATTAATTATGTCATCATCAGGAATGATGATGATGATGACATAATTAATGTCGAAATATTGAATCCCAACACGATGGCGTGTATTTCAATATATTTAAACTACGAACAAAATAGAAGGTATTAAGTTATACCGCATATAAATGTGTACACTGTTGAGTAGTAGTAGGAAAGGATTTGGCCTCAACGGCCTTTATAACCCCACATCAATCTGGTTCTGCTTTAAAGCAGTTCACCGATAGAGCCAGCACAACATCCATTCTTTGAAAAAAGAAATCTTTTCAATATATTATCATGAAGCATTTTTTTTTTATAACGATTTATTGAAAATGTGACTATAATAACAAATTGATATTGTCACACAAATAAAAAACACATGAATTTTAAAATGCCTGATGATAAAGACTAAGACGTAAAGTGACAACATTTTAATTTTTTGGTTTTCTTTACTAATATTTGAACCAGCTAACACTTCTGTGGTCACTGGCAACCATGACTGGCGCAAAACCAAAACAGCTATTATTTTGTGACCATAGAGATCTGTTTCCGTTTTGGATGAATAAGGTTGTTTTTACATTTAACTGACTTTGCCCACCCGACAATAAAAGGATGGCGGACAGCAAGAAAAATAGCTGAACAAAGCTGTAGGATTTTTACAAAGTAAAACATGCAAACAGTAATTTTTTTCTAATATTTTTTTAAAGTGTGCTGCATTCTTTAATGTGCACCTTATAACACATGGCCAACTGCATAACGCTTCCATTGTGTGCTATAATAATAACAGGATTTGCCCAACGGGTGGTCGATGTTCCCGACGAGAACAAAGTGGGTGTGGTCGGGCGTCGCTCAACATCTTTGTGAACTGGTTTAGAGAAGGATACCCCCAAAAATATGACAATTTAGGGGTTTCAAAGGTTTATTTAATCGATTTAATATGTGGAAAATATATTATCTTTTTTTCTCCCAGATGAATTGTGGTTTTTCTCCCGTCAGCCTTGGCCTTCTCCCCCCTCGAAGCGCTGCCACTGCATCATAGCTGGCCCTCCAATCAATTTTAAACACAGAAAGTATATGAAAGGAATTGAACCAGGGGCCAAGTAAGCGGAAAGTATTGTCGCACACATAAAGCGCACACGAATAGACTACCGGTACTTTTAATTATTTGCTCTGCTCTTTCTCGATGGGTGTGGCATACGATATCCTTGGAGTCAGGGGGAAATCTTGCTTTACATATAAGATTGTTAAAGGATGTGTTTTAGGCCCAAATTCAGGCTTGTCACCGGTACATCATCCTAATCAACCTCATCATCATCAAAATCATCGCCGTCGCTGTCATCATTATCATCATCTGTTCATCATCGTCACGGTCAAAATTAATCAATCAATTTGTTAAGCAGTGAACCGATTGACTGATTATTCAATCAATTATTGATTAATTTATATACAAAATTTTTAAATCGCTGGACATCACTGGAATTATTTGTTTCGGGTGTTTTATACACTACAAAAATCTAAATCTAAAAATCAAACATTATTTTAATTGGATGGCATTTTTAGCAATGGCTGATACTTAATTAAGGTGATCACTTAAACACACACTGCTATTGTTATTTTATTGTTTGTTTTTACATTGCTGCCCTTTTGTTGTTGATGTTGTTGAATTTTGTTCATATTTGTGTCTGATGATTAATATTTTTGTTTAACTTCAGGCTGAAAAAATATTCGATAAAATTAGGAAAGCATTGGAAGGGAAACCTTATGAAAGCATGGTGTCAAGTTTCTTTGCTATTGAGAACAGCTTACCATTTGCCAGGAGCAATGCTTCTAACATCATGGAACAAATATTAAAGTTTGCAAAGAAGATGGTTAGAAAACTACCATTGAAATGGTTGCTTGTTCAACAGGAAATCCAAAAGTTGAAAGAGAAGCATATCTACCTACCAACCAAAGAGGTTAGACATTTAATAATTTACAGAAAGAGCGGGATGGCGCAGCAGTAGCGGTTCTGCTTCCCAACCTTGAGGTTGGCGGTTCAATCCCTCGCTGTGCATTTCGCTTCTGTCTAGGCAAGGCACTTCACCGATGTTTGTCTCTGTCCATCCAGGAGTATAAATAAGTGGGTACCTGGTAGGCTCAAACACAAAATTCGCAGATTACACCTGCAACATTATGGAATTCTCCCCAATCATGTGTACCATATGTCCTTGATACAATGACAGGGTGGGTTGAGAGAGGGGGGTAAAAATGTGAAGCGCTAATTTAGAGGCCTTATAAGCGCTATGTAAGTCTAATTATTATTAACTTGTGATTATTATTTTCATTTCATTAAAACACTAAACTTTATAAGAACAGAAACAGCAAGAAACAAGCACAAAGGAACAGACAGTAAAAGCCCAAAATTGAACTTAATAACTGTCAGGCATTATTTTCAAGTAAAAACGTAATTTAATAAATTTGTTTAAATTTGTTTGTTTGATTTGTTTTGATTTGATTTGTATCAATTTCTACACTAGTTTAAAATTATTAAACTTTTTTTTTTCTTTCTCAGGTGATCACTTTAGTTGAGCGGTGTTGGGTCAAACAAGATGCTCAAAGGGTGCTGCTAGAGTATCTACATGACCTTGGCGAGATTCTCTACTTTCCTGATGACGAAGCCTTAAAGAACATTATTGTTTTAGATCTGATACAATTAGTCGACATGTTTAAAATAATAATCACCATTATTGACCCTAAGCTAATGGTGAGCTAACATATCCTATTATATCATACAATATCTTAGAACCATGGTTTTCACCCTGGGGTCTACAAAACCTCTAGGTGTCGGCAAACATAGCAAATGGAAACAAATTGGAACTACAGTAGATTATTATCCTGTAAAGGGAGTTTCATCCTGCTGACACCGCCTTTAGTTAAGATCGGAAACATTGATGAATTTGACCATGTGGGGTGGGGGCGTGTCAGTGAACGAAAAAGGCTAAGAATTTAAGTCTAAGAAAATAGCGGGATTATCTAGTTCCTAATGTCTTTGTGTAATGAAAATGTGGCATATATATGCCTAAGTTGAATGATGTAATTATAGAAAGGGTAGTACTAAAG